AGGACGGTCCTGACTCAGAGGACGGTCCTGTCTGGGAGGCAGGTCCAGGCTCGGAGGACGTTCCTGAGTCGGACGCAGGTCCTGACTCAAAGGATGGTCCAAATCCAGAGGCCGGTCCTGACTCGGAGGCAGGTCCAGACTCGGAGGACGGTCCTGACTTGGAGGATGGTCCTGACTCGGAGGACGGTCCTGACTTGGAGGATGGTCCTGACTCGGACGCAGGTCCAGACTCGTAGGACGGTCCTGACTCGGAGGCCGGTCCTGACTCGGAGGCCGGTCCTGACTTGGAGGCAGGTCCAGACTCGGAGGACGGTCCTGACTCGGAGGACGGTCCTGACTCGGAGGACGGTCCTGATCCGGAGTATGGTCCTGACTCGGAGGACAGACCTGATCCGGAGGACGGTCCTGACTTGGAGGCAGGTCCAGACTCAGAGGACGGTCCTCACTCGGATATAGGACTGGCCTCTGAGTTGCGAACGGCCTCTGAGTCAGGACTAGAAAACATTGAAAGCCAAGACGCAGTAGACTTTGATGACCAGGATATAAACAAAGACTATTCATATGTGAACAAAGGTGATCTAGTTTTGGAAAACATCGAATCAATAGACTTCGAAGACCTAGACAAGAATGAAGAGCCTGAGAAAAAGCCTACTGATGAGATAAAGCCTGATGTTGAAATGAAGCCTGCTGTTGAGGTGAAGCCTGATGCTGAGGTGAAGCCTGATGTTGAGATAAAGCCTGATGTTGAGGTGAAGCCTGATGTTGAGATAAAGCCTGATGTTGAGGTAAAGCCTGATGTTGAGATAAAGCCTAATGTTGAGGTGAAGCCTGCTGTTGAGATAAAGCCTGATGTTGAGGTGAAGCCTGATGTTGAGGTGAAGCCTGATGTTGAGATAAATTAGCCTGCTGTTGAGGTGAAGCCTGCTGTTGAGGTGAAGCCTGATGTTGAGATAAATTAGCCTGCTGTTCAGGTGAAGCCTGATGTCAACAGAAACAGGATTTTTTTTTTCCACCATATTTCTTCTTTCCTCTTCGGTTCCACGTCTGAAACCCATCTCTTTCACACCCCTCAAAAATCGTTCAGGTTCCACGCCTGCCTGAGTGTAATCCTCACCCAGGTAGTTTTCATCTGAGTACAAGTCCTCACTAGGAAAAAAAGTCTTTCTGATCTTTCATTTTGTAGATGTAAACATTTTCTTTGGAGGAACAGGATTCTCCAGGTGATGTTTGAATTTTTCCACAATAACTTCATGTCCTTCTGGGTAATAAAGAAGTCCAATTAAATGCAGTCCAGAAGTGAAGTGGAAAGCATCTTTGGCGATACTTTGGAAAATCCGTTCACTCAGCTCTTCTGACACCTCTGAGAGAACATCCACATTTAATTCTCCTGTTTCTCTCAAAAGTAAGATCAAACCTCATGGTGTTCTTCCAAAAATGTTTCTCTGACAAGATGCAGAGTTAGCCTGTCCACAGATTTTTCAATCACTTTCCAAAGAAGTTTTTTTCCTGTAATCCGGGGTTGTTTGACCAGGATGGACTTTGTTGGAGAACCTTTTTTTCATGTTTTTCCCAAAAAAAATTGAGCTGTGAGCTTTTGTTACTTATCTGTGTTGAGCTTAGCTAAAATGTCCAAATGATTTCTGTGTTAACTGACCTGAGAATTAACTGATCAGTTGGTGATGTCATGACTCTATGACATCACAAAGTCATCCTTACCAGGGCCTCATGACACAGACTTTATTTAAAGTCATGCTGATGACATCATTGTCAGCAGCATGGCAACTGTTGCTAGGGGTAATAATAACACGCAGTTAGCATGCGCTATGAAAAACAATAGAATCTGTGGGGACCATTGGCCCCTCCACTTTACCACCCTACCCATTTTTATTTGTTATTTGGGTTCCATCTCCTAACAGGCATGTAGGGTAAGTGTCAATGGGACCGGTACATCCAACCAGTTACTCAGCAAATCCACCAGTTTAACCCAGAAGGGTTTGACCAATTTGCAGTCCCTTATTCAGTGCATCGGCTTATTTTGGTGGGGGCAAAATGAATCGTAGCAACAAAAAAAAAAAAAAAGAGTAGACGCAATAATAATATTACTCAAGTAGAAGAAAAAGGTACAGTGCTGTGAAACTACTTTAATAATTTTTTTTATTTTTATTTTTTCAAAAATGTTACTCAAGGGAATGTAACCAGATCTACCCAATTTTGAACATAGGCAACATCATCAGTAGCTTACAGGCTACGAACAGTTTTTACAAGGTAAGAAGATTAAAGTTCATATACTTTATAAGTAAGTATGATTAGAAAGATATTAAATACCGCTTTATGGAGAAGGAACGCATCTAACCATTAGTTACCATGGAGACAGTGCCCCGCTGTCATACATTCCAACATATAGCAAAAAAACTGGTTAGCATCTCGTTTTTGTGCGTTTTTTAGGTTGCTCCGGTGTAACAGAAAATACTGTTTATGACAGTGATATAAATCATGTGGTGTGAATTCTGGCAAAGTCGGTAATTTGATCAAAACATCATGGGGGAGGTGGTATGGGAACTGTTTCTAACTTTCATAAATCCCGCCGTCTACGAGCCCCATTCAGGTGTGTTATGTTCACAAACAAATTAGCTCGACTCGAACAAGTAGAAGCCATGAATAAACTGGCAAAAACAACTTTGGAAAACAATTTCAGTCGCTCTGTTCAATACTCCTGATTCTCACTTCCGGCATCCGTCATGGCGCCTCGAATGATTCAGTAACGTCGTCTCAAAGGGTCAGTAGATGAAAAACTAAAGGTTCCTCTGGCATTATGGACTGCACTAAACAGTAAATTGTTCATGTTTTTGTGGCACACAGGCAACTGGAAGAGCAGACGACATGGAAAAAGAGCAAGAGGAAGACAAGAAGAGGCTGCTTGATCCGCTCCCAGTTGTCACCACCAGTTTTTCTCTTGCAGAGCCCGCTCCAAGCTGCCACCAGATCATCGAACCTTCTCCTAAACGCAGAAGACAAGCTCCCGCAGAAACTGGGCCAAGTTCTGCTGATGCATTCAGCAATTTCAGGGATGAAGACGAACTGTTTTTGCTCAGCCTGCTGCCCTCACTGAAGAGGCTCACCATTAAAAAAAGGATGGAGGTCCGCATGAAGTTCCAGCAGGTGCTTTACGCTGCAGAGTTTGAGGACTAAAGTCTGGGTCTGGATCACTACGCTATCTATGCACTGTCCCTCAGACAGTCGGCTTGTAAATACATGTTTATAAGTTGTTAATGATTATTTTTGTATTGTTATTTTTGGTATTTTTTTACTTCACTAATCTTCAGAGGCTGGGTTAAAAGGAAGAAAAAACACTTCACTTTTATTTACTGAAAACACACACAATATCAACATTTATTTATGTAACTATGAGTGTTTTTCTAGTTTTTCAAGAAGTCAGTGATGAAGGAGTTACAGCAGTCCTGACTCATTTCCTCATAGTCAAACATTTACTGTATTATTTTATGGTCACATAAAAATTAAAGGGAAAAGCACAAATGCTCCAATGACGCACTACTTAACCTGCCGCATTATAAAAGTTGCTGTGTATTTTTATTTCCTCATAATAGAGCAGCTTCCACTCAGACATATGCAGTGCCTTGCAATCATATTCACATCCATTTATCACATTTATTCACAACACAAACATACATATATTTATTTGATAGAGCAATCAAAGTGTAAGGAAATGTACTTTTTTTTACAACATTTTATATTGTAAATAAAAGTCTGAAAAGCCTGAAATGCATATTTAGTCTCCTTAACTCTAATACCTTTACATAAGAGACCTGTTGATCGCCTAATTAGTAGATAGAAATTGTAATGAACAATTAATAGTGAATATTGTTAAAAACTCAGCAGCACAAGACTCAGGTTGACAGGGCAACTGTTATTTACCTCAAAAATATGGTATTTATGGAAGCGTCAAGAAGAAAGTTAAAAGATAATTGTAATAATTGTTTGCCACATTCAGAGGTGGGTAGAGTATCAAAAATTGTACTCTAATAGAGGCACTTCCAACATATTTTTATTCAAGTAAAAGTAAAAAGTAGCCATCCAAGAAATTACACAAGAGTAAAAATAAATATTTGGAAACTGATCAAAACATCAATTGTTTAGTATTTCAAAAATACATCATCAAATGGACAAAAATATAAAATATGTTGGAAATTTTTGTGCAGATAAGACCAAAATTAAGACAATTTACACAAATAACATAATTACATACAAATCAAACAAAAGAAAAAAATTCACAAGTAAAACTTATGAAATTTTAGCAAAAAAAAAAAAAAAAAAAAAAAAAAAATTTAAAAAAAAAAATTTAAAATTTTTAAAAAAAAAAAAAAAAAAAAAAAAAAAAAATATATATATATATATATATATATATATATATATATATATTGTTTTTGGTTAAAGCAATTGTTTGTTCTTCAATCTGTGAAGAACAGACTGTGGATAGAGAATCCAGACATTTTACTGAAGTAAGAGTAGTAAAATTACTCAAATAGAAAGCATAGCATAGTAAAAAAAAATACTCCTAAAATTACATTTTACCCAAAAGGTTACTCAAGTAAGTGTAACTGAGTAAATGTAACTAGTTACTAACCAACTCCAGTCACAAGCTGGGATGCAGCAAAAGTGATCTAATGTGACTAAAATGTTACAATTTGCTGCTTTGTGAAGGAAAACTAAATATTCATGTTTCCCTGAAATACAATCTACGTAACAAAACACGGTGTTGGCAGGATCATGATGAGGGGATGCTTTTTTCATAAAGGAACTGACACAAAAGATGGAATAACACCATAATACCGCCATTAAAAATGCATTTCGCATGAACAGAAGTGTGTAAAATTAATACCAGCTTGATTCAAATGATTCACACTTCCAGCATCAAACGTCTCTGCAGCCCTTTTCTCACTGGGAATACTGGTTTTTATTCAGATCATTTTCCAGCAGCGCTGTTATCCGCATAGTCATTCACTTCAAAACGAGCCAATCACGTTGCTGCTTTCACAAGTCCCGCCTCCTCGTTCTCTTCACTGATTGGTTGGTCATGGGTGTGGCGTTTTCATTCATCATTTTCTACATTCATTCAAACATCCTGCTAACCTGTGACTTTCCATACGTGAAGAAGTAAATGTCTCTTGCTGTTTTTCCTGTTCTGTGCTTTCTCTAAGTCTACGTCTCTCCCATCACCTCTTTGCTTCATTTCTCCCCCTACCAGCCTCCATCCCTCCTCCTGTTTATCCCGAACCCCTCCCCTCTCCCAGCCTCCCTGCCTCTTGTCATTGGGTGCCGTGTCGGGTGATGGTTGTGGTTTCTGTCGGTGATATCTCCGGAGCATGTACCAGCTCTCTGCCTGCAGCCGTACATGGACAGATGGAAGTTTATCCACACTCTGGGACATCTGAGAGCTGCTGATTACCTCCTTCATCCTCTGCAGCTGGACAGATTTCATACAAGCTAAATGACGATTACTGCTGTGTTTCTTCATTTTGAGGTGAGATGCAGGAATGCACATGTATTCAGTTACGTTAGGGTGTGTTAGTATTAAACAAGAAGTTGACAAAATCGCTGGGTCATATTATTTAAGTTTAGCTAAAATGTGTTCCTTATGTAAACCATAATTATGATAACATCATGTGTTTTGAATAGTAGCACTGTCTGCAGGATTTCTGCACAGTGAATGGTAATACTACGATGAAACAGCATCCTGTATTCATTGGTGGAAAAAATAAAACATCTCGTGGACAGCTCAGTGATTGGCTGGTTTATCCGTCTTTATAAAGGAGGCTGATCTGGGATTTCATGCAGTTTGTTGGTGAGTAGTGGGATGCTAGGTGTGGTTCAGAAATGAGTCCAAAAGCGCCACAACGAGATAATAACTAGTTACTTCAATGGATTAGTATCTGCATAAAAGTCTAAACATAAAAATGGGTAAATATATGACTAAATAACTATGCCATTATTATTATGTTTTTTAACAAAAAGCATTTATATTATGATATAGTGTGGAATATTTTCAAATAGCAGTGCCAGTGCTCAGGCTTAAGAGGAAATCATGAATTTAACCTTTAGTTATTGTATGTATTACAAATGCTTACAATCTGAAATATGTATTTATTTATTCCAATTTTCTCTTTGTTTTTCAGGTTACAAGGAGTAACAGTTATAACAGTTATGTAGTGTTTACGTTTTGGGTTTGTGGCATTTTTAAGGGATCTTTTAGTGATTTCATTCATATTTATAATGGCAAATTTACTCTCTCTCTCTCTCTCTCTCTCTCTCTCTCTCTCTCTCTCTCTGTATATATATATATATATATATATATATATATATATATATATATATATATATATATATATATACACACACACATTACTCACATTTACCTGAGTAATTTTTAGGAGTATTTTTACTACGTTGTTCTTTTAACTTTTACTTGAGTAATTTTATTATGAAATATTTCTACTCTAAAACAAATATATTTCAACTAAAAATTAATCAGACACACACCTGCAGTTTTTTGTTAAAGTTTTATACGTTTTTTATTGAAAGAAACTGAATAATATGATTTATTGTAATTTTTGTCCTTAAAATATCAAAAATTCCACTTAACTTTAAATTTGGTCCATCTGATTATGTAAATATAAAGAACAGGTTTGTCAAAATTTACATTAAATATATACAGTCTTGTATATTACGACTTAGAATGAATGAAATATTTTAAAACGTGTGTTTTGGAAATTGATTCAGGCAGTACAGCAGCAGCTAAAGGGCTGCTGAGCTGGTCATATGATCTCTGGTCAGTCCAAAGAGATTAGAGGGAGAAACAGGAAAACCACAGCAGAGGAAGAGTAACGCTGCGCTTCCTCTGTAATGCTATACTTTACTGGGAAGATCGAAGGGTTTCAGCCATTTCATGGCAATAGTAGCTCATTGGGTTATTATGAAAAGAAAAGGTAAGAAATATTTACATTCTGGAAGTTTTTTGTTTGTGATTTATTTGAAATTATTCTCCTGTTTTAAGAACAGGGGCATTATGTTGAAAGATGTGTGTTTTTGGGGTAAGGCAATATCGACAAAATACAGAAAGACTTCTGTAACTTTGAACAATAGCAGCCTATTAACTAGAAATTCAGTATTTAGTCACATTTTTTCAGTTATAAAATCATAGTAGATGCATTTATTAATTAAGCATTTCTCTCTGCAGGCATGAAACTGGATTTTTAATTTTATACAGCTCTGGAAAAAATTAAGAGTCCAGTTAAAATGATCAGTTTCTCTGATTTTACTCTATAAATAAATGCTTGAGTAAAATGAACATTGTTATTTTATTTTATGAACTACTGACAACATGTCTTTGAAATTCAAAGCAAAAAAATTAGTTTTTATTTGCAGAAAATAAAAAAAGATGCAGAGCTTTCAGACCTCAAATAATGCAAAGAAAACAAGTTCACATTCATTTACAGACAACAATACAAATGTTTTAACTCAGGAAGAGTTCAGAAATCGGTATTTGGTGGAATAACCAGGAGGTTTTCGATGGGGTTCAGTGCAGTGGACTCTTAGTTTATTCCAGATCTTGTCACATTATATCAATCAGCATAAGTCCAGACAAGCCACTGTTATTCAAATCTGCATTGAGGCTCATTTTATTCCAGCCTGTGATTTTTTTAGATCAATGTTTTTTTCGTGCAGATCCATCCATGCTGAGCACATCAAGTCTGGCCAAACTGGATTGCAAAACCAAAATCCTCCACAGTGCAGAGCATCGGGTCACCTGGATATCAGACGAACAGCTGAACCTTCCTGTCTGGCTTAGTCTTCACAGTCCACTGCAGAACGAACCGTTTTGAGGACGTCTCTTAAGGGGACGGAGGAGCGCCCCGCTCAGCATGTACTCCCCCCAGAGCCTCCATCGCTGGGGCATCACTCACAGCGAGAGCATGGAGCGCCTGGCTTACAGTCAAGGTAGGCCCAACGTTTAAAACTCTGACCTTACTGAAAAACAGCCATGACGGTTAACATCCACTACAGCATGTTTTATTATTACGGTGCATTTTTAATTTTAAAGACAGCAATGAAACATCCTCTGTACTGTTGTTAGTTTATAAATCACTGAACGGCTTAACACCAAAATACATTAAAGATCTGCTGTTGTTGCTGAGGTCTTCTGGTTCTGGTTCTGGTTCTGGTTCTGCTCTGCATCTCCAGAACCAGAACCAAACATGG